AATGATAGGTTCCATATAAGATTGTTCTGAATTTTAAATTAATGAATACAAAGAAAACACTTAGAGTAGTACCGGGCTGGTAGTAAATACTCAATGTTCTTATTGCCATATCTCTTTTCCAAGTAGCAATAAATGACCTAACTTTCCTATTGGTTAACAACTTAGAAGTGTGTGGCACAGGCTTGTTGAAATCTTTATTGCATTCTTCTATCCCTGTAGCTCCAACTATTTTCCAGGTGACCCACATTAGGATTGTACAGAGTGAGCTCAGTCCTCATCCATGCACTGTGTATTTAAATATAAATAGTGCCCTGCCCCAATCTCCCTTTCTCCAGTTCTTTTCACGTTTCCTAATAGAGTTGAGTTTTGAGGGTATTTTTGGGCAGTGAATGTGATCTGATGAACAAATTCAACTGATCTCTTATATGTGTGACCTCTCTTATATAGTTTGGCTGTTTCCCCACCAAATCTTATCTTAAATTGTAGCTTTCTTAGTTCCCATGTGTTGTGGGAGGGAACCGATGAGAGATAATTGAATCACGGGGGTGTTTTCCTTCATACCGTTCTCGTGGTAGTGAGTAAGTCTCATGAGACCTGATGGTTTCATAAGGTTTTACAAGGGGTTTCCCCTTTTGTTTGGCTCATATTCTTTCTTGCCTGCTGCCATGTAAAATGTGCCTTTTGTCTTCCTCCATGATTGTGAGACCTCTCCAGCCATGTTGAACTGTGAGTCCATTATACCTCTTCCTTTACGAATTACCCAGTCTTGGGTATGTCTTTATCAGCAGCATGAAAATAAGGTAATACACCTAGTCAATGGAGAGATTAAGGAGAATTTCTTTTTTATACTCAATCACATACTCTATTAATACAACGTAAAGTTACATTGACTGTTTCATTCTCTGTATTATACTGTTAATTCATTCTGAGTTTGTAATTAACCAAAGGCCCCAAAATTCACCCCCAACATTTGCTTAATAAAAGTTTATTCTTTCATTTATTGAATTATTGACTGCTTAGCATATTGCCATATGCTGGCTTTGTAATTGACAGTAGATATGCTCCTTAAGGAGTTTAGAGTTTCCTGGGATGTCATACATGCAAACTGACTTGTAGTAAGTGTGACAGTGATAATTGTTATAATAGAGACGTGTAGAAACTGTATGACAACAAAAGGAAGGACACCTAATTCTCCCAGTAGGGGATGGGGGAAAATATGACAATAAAGATGGCAGGGGCAGAAGATGTCAGGGAAGTGCACATGGAAGGGAGAGTGTTTGTCATAAACTGTACGTAAAGATCCTAATGACTGAGAAAGTGGGGGAAAGAAGTCTTTAAAAAGGCTGGTAATACCTTTTTATAATATAATATATAATATAGCATCAAACAGCATGGACATTCTGGGAACTACTCCTATCTGAGAATGGCAGCAACCTAGAGAGCAGGCAGAGGAATTGGCAGGAGAGATGCTGAGCAGGTAGGCAGGTACAAAGTCCTGATGGGGTTTGCATGTCACAGTTGGAAATTAGTATTTACTCCTATAGGCAATAAGCCAACATGAAAGGAGTTTACATTAGAGAGGGACATGGTTAGATAGGTGTGCATTTAAAAAAATATGGGACTGGTAGCCTTTATAGTGTGATCTGTGAAGTAGAGGGAGCAAGAATACAGGTGGGATGGCTGATGGAGAGACAGTCCCTGTCACACAAGTGAATAAAAACCAAGAAATCATGACCAAAACAAGGCTATGGGAATGGAAAAGAAGGAAATTTTTTTGAGAGATTTATTAAATAGCTATATTTTGAGCACTAAGACACTTTGAGCGGTGAGATCCTCGGGCTTGATAAACAGCTACATGTGGCAGGAAATGGAAAAAGTTGAGGCTTATTCCCAGTTCTGAGTGACTGGTGGATAATGATGGCATTCCCACGTAAGAGATAACTGATTTGGGAGAAGCAAAGGGTTCTCTTTGGGACCACTTTTGGATACCTGTGGGACATCTAAGTGGAAATTGTATAGCAGGCATTTGGCTTAGTATCAAGAACTCAGGAGAGAGAGGGTGTGTGTGTGTGTGTGTGTGTGTGTGTGTATAAATGGCCCTGGGAATCATTCATATATAGAACCTGATGCAGTAGATGAACCAGAAGAGGACTGAGGGCAAGCATGAGAATCCTAACGTGAAATAGAAGCATGGAGAAAGATAGCCCTAGAAAGGGATTTTGAGAGGGCATCAGTTGTAGGATTGGCTAAAAACTAAGAGAAAGTGATGCCATAGAATCTATGGCAGAGAGTCTATAATGCTTGAGAGAGACAGAGATATATATAGTACGTTTACTAATATTTTATATTGATATAATATATTTACCAATATATATATACTTTATATATATCAAATTTGTATCTATATCAAATCTATATGAAATTTTACATTTTATAAATTATATTTATGTATGGTATATTTATTAATATTTTATATATACTTTATGTATGTATATCAAGTATGCATATTTACTAATGTTTTATTACTTTTTAAGCTTATAAAACATTTTCTAATATTTAAGTAGTGTTAAACTACTTCTAAATATTAGAAAGTGTGCTTTCGAGGAAGCAGAGTCCAGAGCAGGTGCCTGTCAGGATGGGTCACCTCTTTTTGGAGCAATCTGCTTGCTAGAGATGAGGGATGTGTGTCTTCCCACAATTTGGACCTAATTCTAGTAGATCCTAACTAGTCACATTCTACTTGGGGTTTGTGGCAGCTTTCTTAGTTTGAATGGGGTGAAGATTTTCTCTTTGTTTTTCCTCCTCTTGTTTTTAGTTATTTTTCAGAGAACAGAATTCAGGTAGTAGAAATGACTTTTCTCTGTAGTATTTAAACAGAAGTCCCACAGTTCCTTTAAAAGTTGGAGCTAAGCAGAAAAACATTACCTATAACAACATTGTTTTTACTTTTAAATTGAACTCTGTTTTAGTTTTTCATGTATTTCTATTATGCGTTTCTTTAGAGCAGAAGTGAGGCTTATTTATCTTCATATCCCCAGGGCTTATCCCAGAGCTTGGCATATAGGAGTGCTCAATAAATGCTTATTTTTGTATTACTTGTTGGTGATTACACAGTTCCATTTTTGAAAGCTTTCTTGACTCTTCTTACCTTCCAACATCTCATGTCACTGAATTATACAAATTTGTCTTCTTTATCAATTCTGCTCTTTTTAACTGCCTAAAGTTCAGCATCTTTTCTTTCCCCAAGTGTTAAAGTGAATTGGGAATTTGTTTTTAGGCTGTATATATGCCACAATATTTGAGAGTTTCAACTGAAATAGAAGTAGGCCTAAGGAAATTGAAGTTGAGGCAAAAACCTGGCAGGAGGACCCTGCTACTCCTTTGTTTCTATTTCTCTTTGTTATCTTTCTCTTTTAAATTTTCATTATGAAAAATTTCAAACACATACTGCCTTATAGAATATAGTGTCACAAACCAGATTCTTTCTCTCTCCTTCCTTCCTTCCTTCCTTCCTTCCTTCCTTCCTTCCTTCCTTCCTTCCTTCCTTCCTTCCTTCCTTCCTTCCTTCCTCTTTCTCTCTTTTTCTCTCTTTCTTTCTTTTGATGGTGTCACACTCTGTTGCCCATGCTGAGTACACTGGCATGATCTTGGCTCACTGCAACCTCTGCCTCCCAGGTTCAAGCAATTCTTCCTGCCTCAGCCTCTCAGGTAGCTGGAATTACAGACACCCACCACCACATCGAGCTAATTTTTGAATTTTTTAGTAGAGATGGGGTTTTGTCATGTTGGCTAGGCTGGTCTTGAACTCCTGACCTCAGATGATCCACCTGCCTTGGCCTCCCAAAGTACTGGGATTATAGGCATGAGCCACTGAGCCTGGCCAAGTGTTTCCTTCTTACCTGTCAGGAACTTTACCATGCATAATTAGAGTCTTACTAATATACTTCTGTTCTACTGCAACAACAAATTCTTCCTTGCTGGTCAGAATTCATGTCAGAGTAAGTTATATTAATTCCTTGTCTACATTCTGGGAGACAGGATTAGCAGTAAGGAACTCATGGACACGAATGGATTTGCAGGTGATGACTGCATGAGAGGCTTCCTGGATCACGGCTCTATTCTCCCTCCCTGCCTATTTTGTGAACTGCATCAGAAATGAATTTATCCTACCTCTGCAGGAGGCCTATTACATGCTTCCAAAAAAGGAACTTTGGGACTTTCAATGATTTAAGAAAGCCTACGCTGTGCTTTGATGTGGATAATCCCTTATTTGTTATTTTAAGCTTCTCAACAAAATATGAATTTTCTGGCTGCTGTTCTTTTTTTAGTGTTATTTTCAGTGGCTTTTGCTAGAGGATGAATAGGATTTAGTAGACCACACCTCTATTTTAGGTTCAGCTCTGTTCACTTTTTCAGAGCTCTAGAAATGTAGTGATTCTTATGATTGTGGCAGGAGGGAGGTAGTGGAACCAACAATGTTATTTGTTCATTTCCCCCATATGTACCGAAGTATTTCCTGTTTGATTGCCTGTAAGACTGTTTCCTTTTTCAGAGTTCTGCTATTTGTAGCTATCATAAAATAAGAAATGAAAAGAAACCTTTTAGAATAGAGGGAAAGTTTTACAGGAAAAGGCAATAAAAGGTCTGAATTCAACACCCCTATTTCTATACTCTGTATATAATACATTTGAGCAGTTTTCATCTTTGGTTTCTCTCTGTGCCATTTATATTCTACTTATGAAAACAAATTGGGTATTTCTTAGTTAATAAAAATCTGTTTTATCTAATAATTCACAAATGTGAATTTCTGGGTAGGAAGAAATCTATTTTTTTTTAAAGTTTATCATTTTGACTTTTGTTTTCTTAAAATCAGACCTATATTTTATATATGTTCTTAAAATATAAATGGATGGTTAAACTTATGAAGGTGAGCCATTGTATTGTTTCCTGGCTTTTTTTTTTTCTGAAGATGTGTCATTTTTTTTTTTTTTTTAATTCAGGGAATCAGCAGTCTCTTCAGTTCTTTAAAAGTGGTGCGTCTCTTACGACTGGGCCGTGTTGCTAGGAAACTGGACCATTACCTGGAATATGGAGCAGCAGTCCTCGTGCTCCTGGTATGTGTGTTTGGCCTGGTGGCCCATTGGCTGGCCTGCATATGGTATAGCATCGGAGACTACGAGGTCATTGACGAAGTCACTAACACCATCCAAATAGACAGTTGGCTCTATCAGCTGGCCTTGAGCATTGGGACTCCATATCGCTACAATACCAGTGCAGGGATATGGGAAGGAGGACCCAGCAAGGATTCACTATATGTGTCCTCTCTCTACTTTACCATGACAAGCCTTACAACCATAGGATTTGGAAACATAGCTCCTACCACAGATGTGGAGAAGATGTTTTCGGTGGCTATGATGATGGTTGGCTGTAAGTATTTTAATTTTTTTCATTAAAAAATTATTGACAATTTTCCTGGCTACAATCTCAGATAGGATTAAAATGAACTACTTTGTCTCCAGAAAGGTATTTAATCCATCTTACATGCAATTGATTTTTTTAATCTACCTTAGAAAATAGAAATGCAAAATAATATATTTTACTCTTCAGAACATATTAATGTGTGTACGCAGCAGAGCTCTCTTGAAGGAACCAGGACCAGCATCCAGACAGGTGGCATTTGGCAGATTTTATAGGTTTTGCTGGTGATGTGTTAAATTACCCTCATAATTGCTCACGGACTTACCTCATCTTTAATGTTCTGATGTGAGATATATTGGATCTGATGTAAGATATATTGTTCATAATTATTCTAGTTAATACTGAATTCCTAAATTAAAGTTGACCTTAGGATACACTTTTTGTATAGGTTTTTACAATTAAGACTAGTAGAAAGGCTTTATAAATCTAGTCTTCATTATAGCCATTCTAGGTTGAATATATGGCTGTTTGAGAGAATGAAAGAATTGCTAAATATAAGGCCATTCAGCAATGAGAAGTGTCTAGGATTTAACACATATGCTTGAGTACCAAATTCTTGGTACTGACAAGACCATGTGCTCTGCACTCAGACTGTGACTGGATAGCATCAGAAGACCAGAACATAAAGGAAATACATACCAAAGAAGCTGCTTTTGAAGATCTTGAGGGAGACTTCACTATCATTCATGCCTTCAAGTTGACTTACATGACTTATCTAGGCCTAGTTCTGGTACCTAGAGTAACCTTAAGAAGATTGTACTGAAGGTGTGATTAGCATTATTAGCACCTCTTAAGCCTTTGGATCATGGTCTTTTTTTGTTTGTTTGTTTAAGCTGTCTTTTCTGAGATTCCACCTTACAGAGGCTTAGATTTTGACATTGGTGGTAAAAGTTCTTGGAGTCCAGGGACATTGGCTGGGCCATGAAAGGTTAATATCTTGGGTCTAAGCAGGTGGTTTCCATAGTAGCATGTCTGAAAACTATTGGAGCATCAGTTTTGGCAGTTGTTTAGCTTCTGTTTGTCTAATACACCCTTGTATAGGTATGGGAACGAGAACACACAGGCTCTATTTGCTGGTTAGAGTTTGCAGTCAGAGGGAGAGTGAGAATTCCAAGTGCTATTTGCTCCAGAGGCTTTCAGCAGGAAAATGTCTTTACACACAGAGAGAGATCCTGATGATTAGATAAACTGATACCTACGTGTCCAAAATGGTAAGATGTACAGGCAAAAATGTACTTTATAAATTCAGAAGACAGCATTTTGTCAGATGCTGTATTCAGTACCATACTACTTTTAATATCTGTACAATGCATTTTGCCTTATACTTGTGCATAGTTAGATTTAAAAAAAATTCTTTTTGCTTTGAAGTGATTATAGATTCATTGGAAGTTGCAAAAAAGTATGGAAAGGGCCTTTGTTCCTTTTACCTAGTTTCCTCTAATAATTACATCTTATATAACTATTACTCAATATCAAAATTGACATTGATACAATGTATATATATATAGTTCTGTGTTGTTTGATCACATGTGCAGATTTCTTTAATTACAACTGCAATCAAGATACAGAACTGTTCCTTTACCACAAAGCTCTCTCTCAAATGTAATCTACTCATTTCCCCCAACTATCCCTATTTCCTAAAAACCACTAATCTGCTCTCCATCTCTATAATTTTGTGATTTTTGAGTATGTTATATAAGTTGAATTATGTAAAATGTAACCTTTTGAAATGAACTTTCTCCTTTCAGCATAATGCCCCTGAGATAATTAATTTGTTTTATTGCCGAGTAGTACTTCATGGTTAGGATATACCACTGTTTAATTCACCATCTATTGAAGGACATTGTATTTGTTTCCAGTTTTTGGCTACTACAAATAAAGCTGCTATGTTAATACCTAGCTGATGGGTTGATATGTGCAGCAAACCACCATGGTACATATTTACCCGTGTAACAAACCCACACATCCTGCACATGTACCCCAGAACTGAAAATGAAAAACAAAACAAAACACAAACAAACAAAAAAAACAAAGCTTCTACGAACATTTATGTATAGGTTTTTAATATGGACATTAGTTCTTAGTTCTCTGGGATAAATACCCAGGAATGTAATTACTGGGACATGTGATAAGTGTATGTTCAATTTCTAAAGAAATTGCCAACTATTTTACAGAGTGGATATACTAGCATAGTTATATGTTTCATAAGAGAATTGTAGGAAAATAAAATCTATGTAGAGTCAAAGGACACAATTATTTACTTTGTTTCTCAGGCCCTGAAGTTGGGAATCATCCTAGATTTCCCTGTTATTCCATGTTACATCTATTAATAGCAAAGCCTGTTGGGTTTACCTTCAAAATACATTTGATTATTTCTTTCTCCTTCCATAGATTACCATCCAAGACCAAGTCACCATTATCTCTGGCCGGAACTTTTGAAGTAACCTTCTATATCTTCCTTCTTTTCTAATGCTTGCCCTACAACCTATATTCAAAAGCCTGAGTGCTCCTTTAAAAGCAAATCAGATCATACCATTCCTCGGCTCAAATCCCCCCAGTGTGTGTGAAATAAAGTCCAGATTCCCTAGCTCGTCTTTCAAGACCTTCCTGATATGGCTCTGCTTGCGTCACTTCACTTTCTACCATTCTGTCTTTGCTTGTTCTCCTAAATCCATGCTTGCCATCTTATTGTCTCTGAAAACTTCAGGCTTAGACCTGTCTCAGTCTGTGTACTTGCTTTTCCACTGCTTATAACATTCCTCTCCTGACTTATGCCCCAAATTCGTGTGGCTTTCGACGAATCTCCTCTGCAGAAATTCCTTCCAGTGCTACCCTACTATAAAATACCACCCCAATGCCAACCTGTGTTCTCTACTCTTTAACCTTTCCCTTCATTGTTCCTACCAAGATCTGAATCCATGTGTACTTGGTTTTTCTTTTCCTTCAGAACATAAGCTCCACGTTCTGAAGCCTTTGTCCATTTCTTGTATTGGATCCCCAATATCTAAACAATTCCTAAGAGTTTTGTGCTCAATCTTAATTTGTCATATGAATGAATGGAATTGAAGATGTCCCTGATTTTTGTAATGAAGATCTCCTGTCCCTGAATCCATCCCAGTTAGGTCTCTGATGAAGTACATGCCAGCAAAATGCATGATATTAGAGCTTTGACCCTGATTCCTTTGTGAAAGCCCTCGTAAGCTCACCTGAATTGCTTTCCTTTGGGGTTGTAATCCTTCCTTTAGCTGAGTTGCTAAGCCTGTGTCTCATAGTCCTGTTAATATAAGTTCTAAGAAGCAAGTCACTGCAAGCTCCAATAAACTGCTCTCTCACTGCTTCTTACTATCTACCTTCTGAATCTACCTGCGGTGGAAATTTTCACATATATTCAGTTGGGTTTCTGAAACTTTATTTGGTTCAGAGTTGGTTCCATTCCTTCTCTCCTTCACGAAAGGCCAATTATACTTGCTAGATCTAAATTTCCATTTCTCCTCATCTCTTCCTTTTCTAAAGTTTCTATTTTTATTTAAAGATAAAAAACTAGTTTTAAAGTTGGTTGTTTTCTTCTCTGAGTTTCGGCTATTTCCTTTGAATACTGAGTAGCAGTTTTCTGTTTACCAATTTTTGACATCTTGCCTTTTGACTTAGGTTTTCCTTTTATGCTTCTGAATAAGTCCAGTTTCTATAGCCCCAGTATTCCAGGGAAATACTTTAAATTTTCTTTTTAGTCCTTGGGTCCTTGGTAATTTCATGGGATATTTCCTTTGAAACAACTTGAGAAGATGATAAAAAACTGTCTAGATTCATGAAGAGTTATAGTACCTTTGCACAATTCCAAAATTCGTTAGACCCACATGCACAAAACATCAACCAAATTTGGATATTGTAGCTCTTTGTAATTATAGTATCATTTTTTCCTACAAGAACACCAAAGAAAACAAACAAATGAAAACAAACCACCTGCGTTCTTAGAAACCAATATGTGCTAGCAGCCATGGCCAGGGATTTAGTGTGTGTGTGTGTGTGTGTGTGTGTGTGTGGTGGGGAAGGAAGGATAGGGAGGAGGGAGGTAGAAAATGGAAAAATTCATTTTTTTCGCTTGTGCCAGGATTCTAGTCAGTCTGTGATGTGTATCTGAGAAGCACCACTTGTAACCTTATGACTCAAAAACAGAAAAATAAAGGTTGATGGAGACACCAACTCCCTATATTCTGTTGAGAAAAATAATCACTGTTTGCAAATGATAAACTGTTTTTCTGGAGAAAGTCATCCAAAATTTATATGCCTTTCAGCAAAATTTACAAGTATGAGTATTGCAGCAATTCCAATTCCTAGGTCCTTATGAGCCCTCCTTTTGATGGCCTTTCCTTCCCTAGGCTCTTGCTACCCTAATGTTAAGTTGGATAGGGACTCTGTCTAGGAATACAGTCTCAAAGTTTTCCTTGTTGATATATCAGACAGATCTTCAAAAAATAGTATTGGCCTTCCCCTAATCCCACTCAACTGAAATTCCTTCCAGATCCCTCCTACGTCAGCAGGATCACAGGATATTTTTCTTACCTGCTACCTAGGAATTTCTTAGACTTAAATCCTTTGTTCCTACATTTGCCCAACATGGGAAATCTTCCTGCTCAGATTTCTGAATTTGGAAGGGTTGCCTGATGCTTCTGTACATACATCTACCATCATGCATTCTTCACCTTAAATTTGTCTTCTCTTGGTTTTGTCATGCTCTCTCTGCCTTGAGTGACCTCCACTGTTCTGGTAGCAGCCATTATTCCCCAAGGGTAGTCAGGTCCTCCTCATTCCTCTGTGTTTGTCCATTCATGAATGAATCCAGCTACTCTGCTGTTATTCACAAAATTCACTATCAAAGGGCTTTTGTAAGAGAATATTTTTGCAGTTTAGTTCCGCAGCACTTGTGGAAATTAGTATGTATGTATATATGT